TGTGGTGACATGGGCAAGGAAGCATTGCTTACAAACAGGGCTCGCCAAACCATGGTGAGCCCCGCTTGTCAGCCGCGCTGTCCGGCGATCTGCGCATGCGCCAATATGTTCTGTGCATGCGCATATCTCCCGAACCTGCTTTGGAGAGGGTCCAGTGGAGGGCAACCAAAATGATTAGGGGGCTGGAGCACATGACTTATGAGGAGAGGCCGAGGGATTTGGGTCTGTTTAGTCTGCAGAAGAGAAGAGTGAGGGGGGATTTGAGAGCAGCCTTCAACTTCCTGAAGGGAGGTTCCCAAGAGGATGGAGAGAGGCTGTTCTCAGTAGTGACAGATGGCAGAACAAGGAGCAATGGTCTCAAGTTGTGGTGGGAGAGGTCCAGGTTGGATATTATGAAAAACTATTTCACTAGGAGGGTGGTGAAGCACTGGAATGGGTTACCTAGGGAAGTAGTGGAGTCTCCATCCCTAGAGGTGTTTAAGTCTCCGCTTGACAAAGCCCTGACCGGGTTGATTTATTTGGGATTTGTCCTGCCTAGAGCAGGGGGCTGGACTTGAGGACCTTCTGAGGTCTCTTCCAGTTCTAATGGTTCAAAAAAAAAAGCAGCTGCTTTTGCAGAAAAACTTGCCAGCTGTCTACACTGGCCACTTGAATTTCTGCAAGAACATTGACGATCTCATGTAAGATTGTCAGTGTTCTTGCGGAAATGCTATGCTGCTCCCATTCGGGCAAAAGCCCTCTTACACAAATGCTTTTGTGCAAGAGGGCCAGTGTAGACAGATGAAAACTGTTTTGCGCAAAAGAGCCCCAATTGCGAAAATGGCGATCGGGGCTTTCTTGCGCATAACTGCGTCTAGATTGGCACGGATGCTTTTCCGCAAAAAATGCTTTTGCGGAAAAGCATCCATGTCAATCTAGATGCTCTTTTCCGCAAATGCTTTTAAAAGTTAAAAGTATTTGTGGAAAATCATGCCAGTCTAGATGTAGCCATGGAGATCAGGAGAAATCCCGGATTATTGGAAAAAGCCAACTGTAGTGCCCATCTTTAAAAAAGGGAAGTACAATTCAGGGAACAACAGACCAGCCAGCCTTACCTCAGTCCCCAGAAAAATCATGGAGGGGATCCTCAAGGAATCTATTTGGAAGCACTTGGAAGAGGGGAAAATGATTGGGAATAGTCAACATGCTTTCATGAAGGGTAAATCGTGCCTGACCAATCTGATTAGCTTCTATGATGAGGTGGTAACTGGCTCTGTCAATATGGGAAAGTCAGTGAATGTGATATAACTTGACTTTAGCAAAGCTTTTGGTATGGTGTCCCACAATATTCTTGCCAGCAAGTTAAGGGAATGTGGATTTGATAAATGGACTGTAAGACAGATAAAAGCTGGTTAGACTGTTGGGCCCAACAGGTAGTGATCAATGGCTCGATGTCAGATTGGCAGTTAGTTTCTAGCGGAGTGCCCCAAGGTTCTGTTCTTGGACTGGTTTTGTTCAACATCTTTATTAATGATGTGGATGAGGTAATGGATTGCACCCTCAGCAACTTTGCAGATGACACTAGCTTAGTCTCCACCTATCCCATCCTAGGGTATCCTATACACAAGGATAAGCAGAAACCTCTGCTGATCAGTATGGGAGACATAAATCTGCACCCCCCCACACACACTCTTCCATGGCACCCCAGAACTACACCCATGGTAGAACCTTCCTACAACTCCCACCCCTTACCACACATCTACAGGACAGCCCGCTCGAGCAACACCCAATTCCTACAACTATCCCTCCTGGTCCCTACTTCATTCCCTACTACAAATCTCATGACCCCCCAGACCTCCACTCCCCAGCCTACAACCCTCCTGGTGCTTGTGACTGAGTTCCTAGAAGGCCGCACTGAGATTGCTCAATCAAGGTAAACTGCAAGAAATAGGGCAGAAAATCCCCCAAACTGGTGGCTATTTCTAATACTCAGATTAACCAAGCCAGCAACAAAATGCTTCTACAAATAACTTACTGGTTACCCAGAAGCCAAAACACAGTTCCCTTAAAGCAACCCAGCCTTGGACTTCCACCCAGGCAGCCAAGTGAAATATGACAAGGATTGCTAACAATCTTGTTCATCATATAAAAAGTCCTACTAGTCCCAAAGGGTTGGACACATTACCCACCAGGTCAATTACTATTTTCAGAATCGTAGAAGACCAGAACTGGAAGGGACCTCAAGAAGTCATCGAGTCCAGTCACAGCAGGACCAAGCACTGTCTAGATCAGTGGTTCTCAAACTTTTTGGCCTGTGGACCACCTGGCTCAATGAAAATCTTTCCAAGGCCCACCAGTTGTTAATGGAATGTGACCTTTAATTGCATAATTATGCCTGAGACATTTTGCTAGTGCTGCAGCTAGAGAGAATGGTTTAATTTAAATTATTAAGCAGATTAACTTTCTCATGTTAGTTATTCAAACTTCATTTTAAATAAAGTAAAATATTAGTTTATGTCCAACAAAAAAGGATTCAATGTTTTCTTTATTTATGGCAGGGATGGGGAACACTTTTTGAGTCGGGGTGGAGCTCAAACCATGGGCCACCTGGAAGGCAGCTGGGGATCACTAACGGTCAGGGGATCAAAGTTTGGGTATGTCTACACTAGAGCGCTATTTCGAATTAACTTAATTTGAAATAGTTAATTCGTATTAAGCTAGTGTGAAATAACTCATCTATACACAAAAACTATTTCGAAATAGTGTTTTGCTGTTTTGCAATAGTATGTCCACACTGAGTAGACTCTGAACCTAAGTTAAGGTTGCCCGGAACTAGTGCTGGCAGGGCATCAAGTTAGACTTAGGGTGTGGTGCTGCTGCATGAGGCTAACTGAGCTCCGTGCTTAAAGTGACCCTACCCCCGCCCCGGGCAGACAGTTCTCAGGGTTCCCCGCTTGCTTATCTACCTCGATGAGGGACAGCAAAGCAGTCCTGTCTTGGAGTGCCTGCACTCGGGACACCACAGCACTCGGCCACATGGAGCCAGAGCTGCCCCGGGCACGCCAGTGCCTCTTGTGGGGTTGTTGCTATCAGGCAGGCTGTACTTGCTGCAAGCTGCAATCCAGGGGGTCCACCGGGGGGCTGTCAGGATCCAGGAGGCCCTGAGGGAAAGCGTCCACCCCGAGGAGCCCTCAGAACCTCCCCGGTCCTCCCCACCAGGGACTCGTGCCCCATTCCTCCCTCACATCCTTCCACTTACCCATCCCTAGCCTCCCTTCCTGATGTCAAATAAACGACACGCATGTTCAAAAATAGAAACCGGGTTTATTGAACAAAACTGGATGGGAGAGATGAACCTTTGGGGAGACTGGGGAAAGGAGGTGGGAGATGGGAAGAGAGGGTGGGAAAGGGGTGGGGGAAACCTGGGAGGAGGGAGCTAGAAGGGTGAAGAAGGGGGAGGGGAAGCTCAGGGCCCAGGGCTGGGGGTCTTGCCCGACCAACCTGACTTTCATGTAAACCTTCTCCTGGGTTCGCATGTGTTCTTTGTTGGCCAAGCTGGCAGCTATCCTGCCATAGACGGCCATGTTCCTCTGTCTAGGGATGAGATTATGGAAGTTGGCATCCCCCCAAATCTAAAGAAGGTCTGTGATCTCCGCCCTGGTCCAGGAGGGCGCCCACCTTCTCCAGCCCCTGTCAGGCTCCTGGGAGCTGGCAGACTGCTCCTGGGGAGTGGTGGAGGGCTGGCTGCCAGTGGCTTGCTGGCTCATATTTTGGGGCTACTGGGTTTGGGGCCCCCATGGCCACTGCTTGCTCTGGGCTGGCAGGCTTGGAACTGGCACAGACACTGTGGCCAGGGTCTATCCCTTTAATGGCTCCGGGGCTGCAGGAGAAGAGTGTAAGTTTTCCTGGCTGTGCCCAGAGTGGTCACCAGGGCTCCCTGGGAAGGGCTGGAGGCCCCCTATTTCGAATTAAGTGTCTACACAGCACTTAATTCAAAATAGCTATTTCAAATTTGGTGTTACTCCTCATAGAATGAGGTTTACCAAATTCGAAATAAGTGCTCCACTATTTAGAATTTATTTCAAAATAGTGGTTTGCCTGTGCAGACACTATTAAAGTTAATTCGAAATAATTGCTGTTATTTCGAATTAACTTTGTCGTGTAGACATACCCCTAGTGAACCACTGGGCTATAATATATGGAACAAATTCTGAAAGATCTTTTTGCAAGTCTGAAGCTTACCATCGCTACTGTGAAATGACCTAAGAACTCTATTCATACCTTCATGGACAATACCCTCTTGTCTTAATAAATCTCAATTTAGTTCATAACAATTGGTTGCAGGCGTATATTTGATAAGATCAAACAGTATGACACTATTGCAAAAAAACCCAAATATGATTCTGGGATGCATTAACAGCAGTGTTGTGAGCCCCACCCCCTGACCGTGCATGTCACCGCTCTGCCCCCCTTTGCCTCCTGCCGTGGTACTCGGCTGACTTCTGTGCCACTCAGCTGGGCCCAAACGTCCCCCCCAGCTGAGCGGCACAGAAGTGAGCCGAGTGCCACAACCGGAGGCAAAGGACATGACTCAGGCAACAGCACTGCCCAGAGGCAACCTCCAGTTCTTCAGAGTTATAGACATTGGACTACTATATATGGGTATGTCTACACTGCTACCGTAGTTTGAACTAGGGAGGCTAATGTAGGCATTCAAAGTTGCAAATGAAGCCCGGGATTTAAATATCCCAAGCTTCATTTGCATCTTGCCGGGCGCCGCCATTTTTAAATCCCCGTTAGTGCGGACCCCGTGCCCGCAGCTACACGCGGCACGGAGTAGGTAGTTCGAATTAGGCTCTCTAATTCTAACTACCGTTACTCCTCGTGGAACGGCGCCCGGCAAGATGCAAATGACGCCTGGGATATTTAAATCCCGGGCTTCATTTGCAACTTCGAATGCCTACATTAGCCTCCCTAGTTCGAACTAGGGTGGCAGTGCAGACATACTCTGTATGATTAGGGATTCTCTCTCCCAAGGATGTCAGAAGAAGGAGGGGAAGGGAGGCATTCTGTCCGGCTACACGGGATGATTATTAAAGTATTACAGATGTTAAAATACATTTATTTTTGTAACATATAACCATAGAAAATGTTATTGGTTACATATTACATGGGCGGTTGAGGGCAGGAGCTGGTGCTTGGCAGGTAGGCGACTCTATGGGGAATAGCTATACGGGTGTGAATCCGGAGTAACTCCACTGATTTCATTAATTCTGGATTGGTATCAGTCTGGACTGAGATGAGAAGTTGGTCTAAGTTCTAGGGTCTGGAGAAGGCTGGGAAATGATGTCATTTTTTCCACCTTTTATTAACTGGAAGGATTTGCTGATTCTTTGACTTCAGTGGGAGTGGGAGCACAGCTGGGAAAACTCCAACTGACTTCAACTGGAGCAGCCAGCCCCTCCTTCGAGACTTTAGCAAGGAGACTGCAACCACTTGGGGGAAGCAATAAAATGGAAAAATGCACGAGATTCAGCCTTCCCCTACTCCCATACAAGGAGAAGCCATAGAGTAGCAGCTATCAGAGGACACTGAAGATCAGCAGCTTCCTCTTCCAGCAAAGGAGGCGACTTGGGACACTCGTGTTGGAGCAAGACTTGATTTTCACCCCACATGCAATAGGCATCTCCACTTTTCAGGAGGACTTATCCCTTTCCTGGAAAGAAAGCAAAGATTTGATGACATGGTCAAGACCACTGAGTGAGTGTTTAATGTGGAAGAGGGGGACTCTCTCTGGAATGCAATAGACAGAATTCCTGGGTTCTTTCCCTCTACGGGTAAAGGAACCAGGAGAAATTCCTTGCCATGCTGAACCTCACAGATGGGGCCAGCCCTCTGAACAAAATACATCCAGTAATGTAAGTGATGATATTTCAAAAGCCAGCGTCTGCCCACGCCATGTGGAGAGCTCCCAGGAGCTCACAAGAGACCCCAGGAAGGAAATGTGGAGGGAGGGTCCTATTAAAAATATTTCTCTGTTTCTCAGCATAGGAATTCAAGGCACATAGGATTCTCCCAGGTCTGCATGGGTCCATTACTCCTGTTCCATTCTCAGCTGGACTACCACAAAGCACCAGTCACTTGGAGGTGCGCATGTGGCTGATCCCCCAGCGGGTGGAGGGGGAGGGGGAAGAGGAGCATTTCTTCCCCAGAAGCCAGACTGAGAAGTGAGGTTCAGGGCTTTCTCTTCCTCCCTCAGTGGGAAGCTGGTGCTGGCGCTCCAGCCATGCTGGCGGAGGGAGGCAGGAGGGGGAGGGTGCAGCACAAGTGTGGGCACCCCACTGCTGGGGGAAGAAAGGGTGTTGAGCTCAAGCTGTGGACCACCAGGAAGGCGGGGAATCATGGGAGGGCTTTCACACAAACCCAGTGTATGGGCCTGATATTATTGTGTTGACCTATAACAGTTTTGGCCATTTGCTACAGAAGATAGACACTCACCAGACCACCACCAGCAATTCTGGGGCCAAGGCAGAAATCAATGGTCCCTCTGCTCCCTTTGATCTGCTGGACCACAAGCCCCTGCCCTGTCCCCCCCCCATCCTGCCAGAAGACCCCTGTGCTGGCCCAGTCCTATCCACCACCTTCTGGGTGAACCTCAGGGCAGCTTCACCGAGCCTCCCCTCCCTTTCCTCAACCCGACCTGCCTTCTGGGAAAAAGCTGCAGCAGCATCTCTTGATTCGAAGGCGCTTTTGATATGCCCTAAGCAGGATCCATGTCCTGGGAATCCAGCCCCAGAACCTTCATGGAAAATATCAGAAGAGTCTTTGAATCAAGAGATCCTTTTTTGGCAGAACTTTTGTGGGGCAGCAGCTGGGCCCCAGGCCCTTTTTGATTGCTTGGCCCTTGGGAAAGTGCCCCTCTTGCTTCTCCCCTGCCAGCAGCAGGCCCAGATACTCAGCAATGAGGCTGCTAAAAGGAGACCCTGTTCCATGGACGTGTGTCACATGGCAGTGTTGGAAAAGAGAAGAGTACCACAATTCCAGTGTTAAGGGGGGCAGCTGACATCGAGATCTCAAATGTCGTAGTTCTGGTGCTGGGTTTTTCAATCCTTTGAATCCATCTCTTGTACTCTGCTCTCACCTAGAAAAATAAGGAGCACGCCCATTGGCTCATGTAACCAATGACCCATGAGACGCGTGCACAGTTGAACAGCCCTCCCTTCTATGTCCCAACAGAGCCAAAGGACTGGAATTCTTGTGACCAACTTCCCCACCCCAAATCCCCACATGGGAAGTAGGATGAGACGCTCTCAGCCCCTCGTTGCAATGAGCCAAATTCTGTTCATCAGGTTGCAAAGTCCAAACTAGCAAATGCAAATTGATGCAGCTACCACCAAACTACATGGTACAGCTAACCTGCCTCAGGTCTTTAATGTGGATTGAACCCATGCCACTTGGCATGGCATCCTGTCCCCTCCAGTGGCACCTTGCTCAGCTAAAGATTAACTGAGCATTAATGGAGCTGCTGAGCTGAACAGGCGACAGGCCCTGGGCTTTACCTGGCGATTGAGGAGACAGTGCACCAGGAAAATGAAGGCTCCCTGCAGGCTGTTGACAATGGTGAATAAATACGCCATGACCTTGCCAGGTAGGAGCCCAAAACTCCAAGTGCAGCCCAGGATGAAAAGCTGGGCAACTGCTTTAAATGTCAGCAACCTGGATTCAAGCAGATGAAGAGATCCCATTACAACCCTGTGCAAAGGGGTGGGCAGGCTTGAAGTAGCGAATGCCCTCCAGGTAGCCACTATTCAAAAAGTCTCCGATAGACACTGGTGGGAAATGCTTCTTGATGGGACCTGTTTGCAGAACAACTGTACAAATCAGGTTTTTATTTCTGATACCAGGCTCTTTAGTGTATTTACTCTCACACCCACTCGGTGAGGCCGGACAGAGTGGGGTGCTGGAACTATTTGCATAGGACAGACTGGCATGCTTGAACTATTTGCAGAGTGTAGGTATTGAGAGTCACTGAACCAAATTGTAACCCTGTGTCGGACAGAAACCTCCTTTCATGCTAGAGGGTGTGGCAGCAACCTTCTTGCACTGATGGTAAGAAAGTGATCTTCTCCCCATTTTCCAGCTGGAGAATCAGAGCATGGAGATACTACAGCTGTCTACACTGCAGGATTTTTGCACAAAAACTTGTGGAGTGTCCACACCTCAAGTGCGTTTTGCGCAAGAAAATTGACAGTGAATTGACAGAACAGGGGTGGGTTTTTTTGTTTTGTTTTGGTTTTTTTGCAGTGTAGGTATTCCTCTTTCAATGAGGAATAACATGTTTTTGTGCAGGTGTTCTTGCACAAAAAAGTGTGTGTGGACAGGAAACGGTTATTGCGTAAAAAGCAGCCTATCGAAACAAGCACGGGTGCCCTGGTGGCCATTCTGTGAATGGCAATGTAGAAGCTGTAGAAACCATTTTCATATTTAGCTAGAAGCCATCTTGTATAACAGAAACCATTTCAGCTTTTCTCTCAAGCACGTAGACCAGAGTGAACTTTCTGTCACCCTGTGAGAAGAGGCCTACAGGATGGGCTATTGATATGTGTTAATTGGGTTGGTTGGGACAGGAGATGTACGCCCTCATACCTGTCCCACCATCTTGTTGATAAGGCTTTGTTTTTCCAAGTTTAATTGAGGATTTCTGTAATTGGATGCCCTGCCATAAGACTTTTTGGCTAAGGGTATAAAGATACTAGGATTGATTGTATTAGCCAGCCTTACTGGGCCCGGCTCTGCTGGGGCCACGTTTGGCTCATGCTGTGCTTTATTAATTAATAAAGCTGTTTGTTAGCTGCCTAAACAGAGAGGAGCGTTTTTTTGCTTCAACAGCAATCAAGGCTTTCTTACAGCAAAGCCTCCAGGCACTCGGGACACTCTCTTGCACAAAAGCACATTGCTTTTCCACTGTGCTTTTGGAGTGTGGACACGCTCTTGGGCAGTCAGTTTTTTGTGGAACATTTCTTCCACAAGAAGCTTCTTGCGCAAAAAGCCTGCAATGTAGCTGTAGCCACCGTAACTTGGCCAAGGTCACACAGGAAGTCTGTGCTAGGGCAAGGAGTTATACGCAGGTCTCCCCCAAATCCCAGACTAGCAGCCTAAACCACTGAACCATCCTTCATCTCCTTTACAAACTGATTGGAAACCACCACAATAACAGCCCTGCAAGGCGAACGCTACGTTTGAGAGAAGCCATGGCTTGCCATTAAAGATTTGGTTCCCTCGTTCTTACACAGACTCATGATATGGACTAGAACAGCTGAGCTATGTAACGGTTTGTTGTGTACCTGATACTGTAGCATGGGAGAGGGCAGTGCAGACTGATGGGCCCCAACTCTAAAGTCAGCTTGGTGCAGAGCCATACCAGGCAGATCCAGCCTTTGTCTCACTTCACTGGTTGCAGCAGAGTTACAAATCTGACCTCAAATCATTGATAGATACTGGATAGCACCCAGCATTGTAACACCTGGCTCAACCCTGCGCCCTGCTCTGTCACTGATCACCAGTGTAACACTGACCAAGTCAATCTTCCTCTATTTCCTCTCACATTGTTTTGTAGTCCAGGCAGTGAGCACATACTCATGGAATATGAATTGTTACAGAATAAGGATAAAGGGCAAGTGCCTAAGGAAAAAGTAGCAAAAGTGCAAAAAATCTGGAGGCTGACACCTATAAAAATAGCACTTGTGCTAACTGCTTAAGCAAGACCTTCCAGGTGATGTAGAAGTAGATGTGCAACACGTTAACACAGACTAGTAAACCATAAATCGTAAGTTGAAAATGACATCAGGTTTCATTTATGTTTTGTAACAATCGAAGTGTTACAAACTGCTGATTGGTAACAGCAAAAAGGCCATTTGTACCAGTTTAAAATATTTTTAAAGAGGGACATGGGCAAATGCCTAACGACAGGCACTCATCCAAATAACATGTGTCAGACAGGTTAGCCTAGTTGATATATTAACCTATTCAATAAAAACATTCTAACATCATAAAGGTAAGCATCTGAAATATGGTTTAAAAACTAGGCACACAAGTGCTTAAAAACCACCAACACACAGAACACATCTAACCTGAGATCCAGCTGTTAAAATACTTCAGGAGTCTGCCAGAGACAAGCAAAAACCTGTCTCAGGCCTTAAAGCTCTCCTTGGGTACGTCTACACTTGTACCCTCTTTCGAGAGAAGGATGCAAATGCAGACATTTAAAATTATAAATGAAGCTCAGATTTAAATATCCTGTGCTTCGTTTGCATATTTGCGGATGGGCGCTATTTTGAAATACTGTATTTCGAAATAATGCTATTTAGACACGGTTATTTCAGAAGAAAACCCTTCTTCCGAAATAACCGGTAAACCTTGTTGTATGAGGAATCAGGGTTATTCCAAAACAACTTCTTCTGAAAGTGACCATCCACACTGCAAAAGTGTGCTTTTTTGAAAGAGAGTGTCCAGACCGAATGTAAGCTCTCTCTCATGTAAGCTGCGATTACTATGGGCATAATGGCCATCACGGTACCTGTGCTTTTTCCTCTTTCCTCTTCTTCCGAAAGAACTCCCTCTTCCGCATCCACACACGCCTTTTTGCAAAAGAGCTCTTTCTCAAAAAGGTTTCTTCCTCATAGACTGAGGAATAGCAAAGCTGGGAAAACCCCTCTGTTCGAAAAGAACGCGCTTGCAGTGTGGACGTGACTCAGGTTTTATCAGAAACACATCCGACAAAACTCTGTAGTCTAGAAATACCCTGGGTGACCGAGGGAGCAATCTTGTGCTCTGTCACAGACTTTGTGCATGACCTTTGGCATGTCTCTTCACCTCTCCGTGTCTCAGTTGTACAAAGGGTACAATATCTAACAGGGGTGTAGGTGGGTCAGTGCACTAAGACTGTGAAACACTCTGATGTGCAGGGGAAAAGTGCTATATGAAAGCTACAACACAGGATTGGAGCTCAGTGGGTGCTCAGCACCTCCCAAGGAGGTGCTCCGCACCCTCATCTTCCAGACAAGGAAATAGGCAGTGCAGATTCTCAGCACTTTGCAGAACCAGGTATTCAGTCTTCTCCAATGACCTTCTGATACCAAGTCTCTATCACACTGGCATGTCCTTAGTTTCAGAGGGGGAGCCGTGTTAGTCTGTAACTGGAAGAACTTCAAAACCAATGAATAATCTTGCAGCTTCTTAGAGACTAACAAAACATGTAGATGGTATCGTGACCTTTCTTTCTCTGAGGAAGTGGGTTGTGCCCACGAAAGCTCATGATACCATTGCTAGTCTCTACATGCTGAAAGACTATTCATTGTTTTTTTAGGTATTTCCTTAGTTTACTTGACAGACGACCCATCCCCCCACAGAAGGCTAACTGGACCTCTTGACAGGGTTAGTGATTTCATACCTTGTGTTTTTGACGGTAGACACGTCCGAATTGAGGGAGCAGATTTTGTCTCTCAGGATCCAGAGGGTTGTGATAAAAAATGTACAATTCATCTGTGGAAACAACACAAGTCGAGTGGATCAGACCCCAGGTCCATCCGGTCCAGTATCTTACCTCTGTATCAGTACCAGATGCCCAGAGGAAGTGATAAAATCAGTCCCTTATAAGGTCTCCCTTTGGCCTTTGATAGATACAGATTGGTTAAAACACTGAAGAACGGGGTATTATGTCCCTTCCAGACCTTTTGTTAGTCCTGATAAAACAACTCTGGACATTATTCTGGCTCCCCACAGAAATGAAAAATAATGACTCACCAAAATAATAAGGCAGACCGGTCCAAGAAAACTCCACAGAAAGCCATTATCTGTTTCAAGCCAGCAACTAAAAGGTAAGATGGCAAAAAGGTAACAGATTACTCCTGGCAATAAAAGGAAGTGAATTCTCCTCTTGGGGTTACCAGAGTTGCTAACTCGGAGAAATGGGAACAATAAAACTAAGGTCTTAATTCAGAAGAGCCCTGATACAGGTGCCTTTTGGAACTGGGGCTGGGAGAGGGAAAATGAAATACTGGTTGCACCTTTTTGAACTGGAACTCTCTGGGCCAGCAACATCCATGGTGTGGAAGAACCACGGATGTTCCAGGATCAGAGTCCTGGTGCACTGCAGGGGGTGAAGGGCCAGGAGTCCAGTGCACTGTGGAGAGTGGGAGGGAGGCAGGAGCCTGTTGCATAACCCAGTTGGGGGAGCTGGGAGCCATTGGGAGGGGGAGCTGGGAGCCTCGCATGAAACCCAACTGGACTGTCTGGGGCAGGGGACGGGAGTTGGGAAGCCCAGACGGTGGCTGAGCTGGGCTGCCAGTGGGGTTGGGAGCTGCGGGCGAGGGGAAGCGAGGAAGGGCAGGAAGCCCAGCGTGTGGCTGAGATAGTCTGTGGAGGAGGTGAGGGGGCATGGCTCAGCTGGACTGGGGGGGAGCAGGAAGATTCGCGTGTGGCCAAGTTGGGCCACCCAGGAGAGTTTTGACGCCTGGTGGAGCAGCAGGGCAGGGGTGGGGCCAGCAGAATGGGAGCAGAAATGACGTCCCAGTCAGGTCCAGAGGGTGCCAGACCAGGGAGGTCCAACCTGTATGACATGTCCATGGCTTCACTGACCCTTCAGTTCCCTCCTGGGAAGGGCAGTCCTTGGGTAGAGGAGCAGAGAAGGAGTTAAGGACCTAAGCTCTGTTTCTCACGCACTGTTGGCCATGTCACTTGCCTTGCGAATCTTGGTTTGAGTCAGGAGTGGGGATTTTTGGAGTCTGGGGATAACAATTGCGCTTTCTCAACAACCTTATGGCCTGCACACCAGTCACTGGACATGTGAAAGCAGAATACATTGGAGTGTTCCAGAACCAGATTCTGATTAGAAAGGGAATATATGGAAAGCAGTGTGGTTACTCCTGATTTACACCAGTGTAAAAACTCTAGCACTCAGATACTACAGCACCTGGCATGGACTAAGCATCTATATGGAGAAAGAGAGTAAAGACCGGAGTCTGGACAGCTATGTCCCATGTTGCTCTGAGATGATGCATCCCATTGTACGGAAGTTCAGGATCGTGGCTAATGGGGGCACTGAGGGGGTTGGCAGATTTGAGGGGGATCCTCAGGACTTTGTACAAAGCATTGAGGTCATTTTCCTATACCACAAAAAACAGCCAGGGATCTGGAGTCAAGCTGGTTTATGCCTTCACCCTCATCATCACAGTGACTCTGAGGACTGGGAGGCGAATTACCAGTGTGTACTTTAACTGCACTTCTTGGAAACTCAGTGATACTGATGATGGGGGAAAGGTCCCAGCTTTGGCAGTTAAAATTGCAGGTGGGGTTACTAGTGAATCAGCCAAACTCAAACTTGGTGTTACCCAGTATGGGGGGGTGGGGGTCACATCCTGATTCCTCTTTGGGGTAGACCCAGCACTTACTGTTTAGTACTTCCATAGCCATCAGAATTCACTGCAGCAGAAATAGCCACGATCAGAGCTGGGAATCCGTAGCCGAACGGGTACATGTATCTCTTCTTGAACCGGCTGGCACTGGTGTAATTCACCACCTTCAGGTTCCTGACAGTGAGGAAGAGGTGCAGCCCCTCCAGGAACATCCAGGTGAAGCAGGCCAGGAAGAGGTAGTGTAGCAAGCCAGCAATGACCGCACAGCCCTGGAGGTGACAGAGAACTCAGCAACTCTGGCATGTAGCTCATTATGGCAGTGAAAGCAACAGTTATTTGACGTGTCCTCAAGCTGGGGAGAAAATAGCATCCTAAAATTGTGAAATATTTAACAAACCCCTCTGCCATGTAGGACTACACCTGGCATACAGTGGCTGCTTTACTTCATCAAAGCAGTAGAGAGTGGAACTCAGATTGTCCTGGTCCAAAAGCAGGTGCCTCTACTTTATGAGCTGAAAGAGAATCTCCATTAGAGGCTAATATTAGAGGCTTTTGGCCCTTGTGAGACAAGCTGCTCCTGTGATAAAGCTGCTTCAGAAATCTGAGTTCAGTTCCCAGCCCTGCCACTGACTTCATATGTGAGCAATCAACTCCTTTCCCTCCGCCTCAGATCCTCTTCCGTAAAATGGGGATAAGTAGAATGTTGTCATAGAACCACAGAGCTGGAAGAGACCTAAGGAGGTCATTAGGTCTAGCCGCTTGCCCAAGGCAGGACCAATCCCAATTAAATCAACCCAGCCAGGGCTTTGTCAAGCCGAGTCTTAAACTCCTCTAGGAATGGAGTCTCCACTACTTCTCTAGGTAGCCCATTCCTGTGCTTCAACGCTCTCCCTCCTAGTGAAATAGTTTTCTTTAATATCCAACCTGGACCTCTCCTACTGCAATTTGAGACCTTTGTTCCTTGTTCTGCCATCCATCACTACCGTGAACAGCCTTTCTCTAGCCTGTTTGGAACCTCCCTTAAGGAAGTTGAAGGCTGCTAGCAAATCCCCCCTCACTCTTCTCTTCTGCAGACTAAATAGACCCAACTCTCTCAGCCTCTCCTCATAGGTCATATGTTCCAGCCCCCTCATCATTTTGTTAGTCCTCTGCTGGACCCTCTCCAACGCATCCACTTCCTTCCTGTACTAGGGGGCCCAGAATTGGATACAATACTCCACATGGGGCCTCACCACAGCCAAATAAAGAGGAATAATCACATGTCTGGATCTGCTAGCAATGCTCCTCTTAATGCAACCTAATATGCCATTTGCATGAAGCCGGTCAGCGCCATTTTTAAATGCCAGCAGATCGAACCCCATGCTGCGCGGCTACACGAGGAGTACAGCTAGTTCGGATTAGGAAGCCTAATCCGAACTAGCTACTCCGTGCCGCGTGTAGCCGCGTGGCATGGGGTCAATATTTTTCCCCGCCATGTTCAGGATTTTTTGTGAAAGTATCTGGCAACCCTATTGGCTAGTTGTTCCTTGATAATGTGCACATCACTTTATAAATTAGATCACTCCGTATAGCAATATGCTTGCATAACACAAAAACAACGAGCAGTTCTGTGGCACCTGAGAGAATGTCTACATTTGGAAATTATTTTGAAATAACTAAATTCAAAATAATAACTCCCGAAATAATTATTTCAAAATAAGCTTATTCCCCAAGGAAAGCAGGAGTACAGATTTTAAAATAACTAGCCCTTATTTTGTGATAGTGTGATAGTGTGGATGCTCCGCTTATTATTTTGAAATAAGGGGGGTTATTTTGAAATCACTCCCTAATGTAGAGCAGGCCTACTCAACATATGGCCTGTGAGTCGCATATGGCACGTGATCCATTTGTGTGTGGCCCGCAGGTGGGAGCCAAAACAAAAAAGTAGTCAATATAATGGTGTTCTGTTGATACGTGTTTTAGTAGTTACATTCCTGGACTGTCATTGCTCATTAAGGGTATGTCTAAACTACATGGCTCCGTCGACGGAGCCATGTAGATTTGTTGTTTTGGCAAAGGCAAATGAAGCCGCGATTTAAATGAGCAATGTCAGCGCGGCAGCCATGTAAATGTAAATGAAGCCGCGATCGTTTAAATCGCGGCTTCATTTGCCTTTGACAAAAAAACAAATCTACATGGCTCCGTCGACGGAGCCATGTAGTTTAGACGTACCCCAAGTTACTACTCTCATTCAGTAGGGGCCCCACACACTCTTTGATCACCTTTTCTTGCTAACATGCCTGTAGAATCCTTTCTTGTTATCCTTCAAATCCCTTGCGAGTCACAATTCCAGTTTCACTTTTGCCTTCCTGATAACTCCCCTGCATTGTTGAGCTATACATTTATACCCCTTCCTAGTCATCGGTCCAAGATTACACTTTTTGTAAGCTCCCTTTTTGTGCTTAAGTTCACCAAGGATTTCCCCTGTAAGCCAATCCAATCTCCTATCATATTTGCTTCTCTTGCTATGCATTAGAATGGTTTCTTTCTGTGCCTTCAATAAGGCTTCTTTAAAATACTGCCAGCTCTCCTGGGCTCCTTTCTTCTTCATGTTAGCATCCCAGGGGATTCTGCCCATTAGGTCTCTGAGGGAGTCCAAGTCTGCTTTTCTAAAGTCCAAAGTGTGTATTTTACTACTCTCTTTTCTTTCTTTGGTCAGGATCCTGAAATCTACCATCTCATGATCACTGCTTCATCCATCTGATCCAGTGCCCTGTAGCAGACACCAAGCACAACATCTCGGCTGTTGCTTACACCTCTAAACTTGACCCATAGACTCTCAATAGGCTTTTCTCGGGGTATTTTTGGAAGGCGGCGGAGGCTCTTGCTATATACGGAAGTTCTGAACACTCATATTGCTCTCTTACATGCAATGCAACTCCACCTCCTTTTCTCCCCTGCCTGTTCTTACTGAACAGTTTATGCCCTTCCATGACAGTGCTCCAGTCATGTGAGTCATCCCACCAAGTCTCTGTTATCCCAATCAAATCGTAGTTCTTGAACTGGACCAGGGCCTCCAATTCTTCCTGTTTGTTACCTAGACTTCTCGCATTGGTGTACAAACACCTCGGATAACCGGATGATCGCCCTACCCTTTCCATTCGAATCAGGGGTCCTCCTTTGTTGCTCGTTCCTCTTTGCATTTCTTCCCAATATCTGACTTCCCCACTCCTCTCAGGGTTTTGGTCACCACCCCCCAACAAACCTAGCTTAAAGCTCTCCTCGCTAGGTTTGCAAGCCTGCCTGCAAAGATGCTCTTTCCTCTCTTGGTTAGGTGGATCCCATCTCTTCCTAACAATCCTTGTGCCCGGAACAGAGTTCCATGGTGGAAGAAACCAAAGCCCTCTCTGTGACACCATCTGCGCAATCACGCTGTCCCCCATGGCTTACCTCAAGTTGCTTAGACCATGAGCTCTTTAGGGCACCAGCTTTCTCTTGCTATACATGCAGTGCCCAGCACAATGGTGCCAAGACCTCAACTGAGTCCTGTCAGCTACTATTATAATTCAAATTAGTGCTTACAATAGTTGTGTCAGAGGGGTAGCCAAGTTAGTCTGTACAGGATAAACTTAAAAAACAACAAATGGTCTAGTAGCCCTTTACAGACCAACAAAACATGGAGATGGTATCATGAGCTTTCATGGGCACAGCCCACTTCTTCAGATGTCTGGAGTTTCTTCAGATGTGACTCCAGACATCTGAAGAAGTGGGCTGTGCCCATGAAAGCTCATGATACCATCTCCATGTTTTGTTGGTCTGTAAAGGGCTACTAGACCATTTGTTGTTTTTTAAGTTTATCCTGTACAGACTAACTTGGCTACCCCTCTGACACAACTATTGTAAGCACTAATTTGAATTATAATAGTAGCTGACAGGACTCAGTTGAGGTCTTGGCACCATTGTGCTGGGCACTGCATGTATAGCAAGAGTTTATTGTTTGTTTAAAAATTGTGGCAATTCTGATCCCACCCAGCAGAGGGCAGGGGTGTTGCACACACGTTGGATACTGAATTACAATATTTGCTCTGGCCAGGACTCTGGGTGAGGAGTGTTTGAAGTAAACCAGGGACACACTGGTTTCAGCATACACACTGTCCTCCCCCCGAGAGCCAGCACCCATTGACGGCTGTGTGGATTCCACTCATGGGCCAAAGGCACTTTTCCACAGTGGGAAATGAGCATCCGCCCAAAAGTGCAGCTTTAGCTCTTTGTGGTTGTGGAGCTGATTTTTAGTCCAGTGTCCCTCTTACGGCCGGGGAGCTGAAGCCCAGAGATACTGAAACTCTGGAGCCAGACTCTGATTTCACTGATGCTGGTGTAAACCTGGGGTATCTCCACGGAGGCCAGTGGTGTCAAGCTAGCAGAAGGAAGATCTGAATCCTCAACATTTCATTTGTGCTGGACACTATACTACCAGGCATGTGCAGGGTCCCAGGGCAAAACCAGCCCCCCTGATATAGGACTGGTGTATCGCACGTGCCTTGGCTCTCAGTCTGAATGCCCTGCTCACACCAGCAGTTCTGTGTGCACCTCCATCCCTCCAGCAAACTCTCTGAGCCATCCTCCCACACTGCTCTCCCGCTTCCTGCAAGACTCCATCTGCCCGGCCTCATGCCAGGCTCCGTTTTCCACCCCCGGCTGTCACCTGAGTCTCGCCCCTACCCTTGTCTGGAGATGCTGAGTTTTTATTTTCCCAGGAGAGCCAGACCCCTACTCCACCCCTGCCACTAAAGGCTCCACCTCTTCCTGTCCCGCCCCTCCAAGTGCCTCTGGCTTGCCACTGGACAGCTGATCTGGCAGGCAGGAGATCAATAGCCTCCCCAGGAATTGAAATTAGGGGGGGGGGGTCAAATGTACAAGGGGGGGTGGTGTCAGGGCCAATGAGGGATGAGACTGTGAGGGTGAAGGTGGGCTGTACGGCACCATAGTTCACAACTGAGGGGTTGTTGCAGAAATTCAGGGGGGGGTATACACTCTCATGGGGGGTTTAGGGAAACCCCAGGAACTGAAATTGGGGGGGGGGTGTTCAAATATACAAGGGGGGTATCAGGGCCAATGAGGGATGAGACTGTGAGGGTGAAGGTGGGCTGTACGGCACCATAGTTCACAAAACTGAGGGGATGTTGCAGAAATTCAGAGGGGGGTATACCCCCTCATGGGGGGTTTAGGGAAACCCCTGAGATGTCAATCTGTGGAGCCTGTCGGTGGGTGTTGAGCACCCACTATGGTTTTTTCCCTGGGTATTCCAGCCCCAGAGCACCAAGGGTGCTGTTTTGGGAGAGCAGGGCGGAGGGAGTAGCCGTGTGCACCAGGATGCAGCTTGCTTTTCTTCCCATTCCCCTGCCTATAGGGACTCAGGGGAAAGTACTTGGATTCCATAAATTACTCCTCTGCTCCTCCCTTCCCCAGACAGGAGTCCCGTCCACTCTTCCGAAACGGCCCCCTTGAAGAGCACCCACGGAGCTGGCACCGATTCCATTGTCCCTTATTTACTGTCCTGCCCACAACCCCTGTCATCTCTTGGGAAGGTCTGTCTGGTTCTCCAAGCTCCCTCTTGTGTGTGTCATGAGCCAGACACGAGAAGTTATTCTTCCGCTCTACTCTGCGCTGGTTAGGCCTCAGTTGGAGTATTGTGTCCAGTTCTGGGCACCGCATTTCAAGAAAGATGTGGAGAAATTGGAGAGGGTCCAGAGAAGAGCAACAAGAATGATTAAAGGTCTAGAGAACATGACCTATGAGGGAAGGCTGATGGATTTGGGTCTGTTTAGTTTAGAAAAGAGAAGACTGAGGGGGGAACATGATAGCCGTTTTCAGGTATCTAAAAGGGTGTCATAAGAAGGAGGGAGAAAACTTGTTCATTTTGGCCTCTGAGGATAGAACAAGAAGCAATGGGCTTACACTGCAGCAAGGGAGGTTTAGGTTGGACATTAGGAAAAAGTTCCTAACTGTCAGGGTGGTCAAACACTGGAATAAATTGCCCAGGGAGGTTGTGGAATCCCCATCTCTGGAGATATTTAAGAGGAGGTTAGAGAAATGTCTATCAGGGATGGTCTAGACAGTATTTGGTCCTGCCATGAGGGCAGGGGACTGGACTCGATGACCTCTCGAGGTTCCTTCCAGTCCTAGTATTCTATGATTCTATGAATCTCCTCCCCCTGCCTCCCATGTCAGGGGCTTCATGCGTGCTCCATTCCCCCTCATTATTTCATTACAGTCGCACCGAAGGGCCCCAAACAAGTTCCAGGAGCCCCAGGAGCTCAGCACTGTACAACCACACAGCTGGGGTGGGGGAGGGGTTACGCTGTATCTGGGAACATGAGCCCTTCAGGCAGAAGCTCAGGCCAGCTGCTCAGGTACCATGAGCTGTTGGCCCACTCCGTGAGGCACCCTCCCGCCCCCCAGCTGCAGTGTAGACGAACCTTTGAAGATTGTTCCTGCTCTGAAGAACTTACAATCTAACCAACCTTATCCTTGGCTTTGTCCATCCCGGTGAGGAAAAGCAGGTTGGCCATGAAGAGGCAGAGGCAGAGCTGCAGGTGGAGGGAGGTGCTGACGTTCCAGAGGGAGCGGCACAGGAGGAAGGTGAGGATGGCGAGGAAGAGGCACAGCAGGGAGATGGACAGGCCCACGTGGGTGATGATGCTCAGGGCACCATCTTCCTGCTAAAGGAAAAATTAAAGCCAGAGAAAATCTTGCAAATCGCGCTGTAGGAACAGGCTCTGTGAAATACCCGGATAGTTTCCCATGGCAATCGGAGCTCCAGCTCCATTGGTGGGGATCCCCTCCATGCCCTGCCCCTTCCACTAGAAAACACAGAGGCACAAACAGCGCAGGTCTGGAGTTTGCAGCCCCCAGAAAATTACGCAGTTCTCTGGATTTCATAGTGACTGCGAACAGATTGGATCAAATATTGGGTTGCACAGGATATAAGCCAGTCTGTAGGACGTCTAACATGCTGGCCAAGTGCAGGGGATCATGACTAGCGCCTGGCTCCAGCCATTGGAACAATTCACAGCACGAGACACCTCTCCTTTCCTTTCTGTGCTACAGGCCTGCAGTTTGGGTGTCCAAGGGTTTGGGCGCTCTCTTGAAATTCCCTGCGGGTTTTTGTCTGGGTGAATGCAACCCCAGCTTTCTGCGCATGGACCAGGAGCTTTGGCAGATGCTTGAAATACCTGACTGGCGTTCCTGTCCACCAGGATGGAAAAGATGGACATGTGGTCACAGGTGCAGGTGGTGTGTGTGCTGTTTGCAGTGAGCAGCTCACAGCCCTCTTTGGACCAGTTGCCTTTGTCGCCAGCGACATCCCAGAAAACACAGATGCTCTTCTCTTCATTATCCGTTGTCTGAAAACAGAAATTGCAGCAACAATGGATTCACAAAGGGCAAGTCATGCCTGACCAATCTGATTAGCTTCTATGATGAGGTAACTGGCTCAGTGGACATGGGGAAGTCAGTGGATGTTATATACCTTGACTTTAGCAAGGCCTTTGATACAGTCTCCCACAATATTCTTGCCAGCAAGTTAAGGGATTGTGGATTGGATAAGTGGCCGGTAAGATGGATAGAAAGATGGCTAGAAGGCCGGGCACCGCGGGTAGTGATCAATGGCTCGATGTCAGGATGGTGGTCAGTTTTTAATGGAGTGCCCCAAGGTTCAGTTCTAGGACCGGTTTTGTTCAACATCTTTATTAATGATCTGGATGAGGGGATGAATTGCACCCTCAGCAAGTTTGCGGATGACACTAAGCTGGGGGGAGAGGTAGATACGCTTAAGAGCAGAGATAGACTTAGACAAGTCTGAGTTAAGCCAGTCTGTAGGACGTCTAACATGCTGGCCAAGTGCAGGGGATCATGACTAGCGGCTGGCTTCAGCCATTGGAACAATTCATAGCACGAGACATTGCTCCTTTCCTTTCCGTGCTGCAGGCCTGCAGTTTGGGTGTCCAAGGGCTCAGGTGCACTCTCGCAAATCACTGCGGGTTTTTGTCTGGGCGAATACAACCCCAGCTTGCTGTACATGGGTTGGGAGCGTCGGCAGATGTTTGAAATACCTGGCTGACATGCCTGGCCATCAGGACGGCAAAGCTGGACATATGGTTACAGGCGCAGGTGGTGTGTGTGTTGTTTGCACTGAGCAGGTTGCAGCCCTCTTTGGACCAGGTGCTTTTGTTGCCAACAACATCCCAGAAAACACAGACCGTCTCTTTGTTATTCTTCAACTGGGAACAGAAATTGCAGCAACAATGTCAGCACCACACACTAGTTTAGCTCATGCTCACGGAGCAATGGTTTCAAGTTGTGGTGGGAGAGGTCCAGTTTGGATATTAGGAAAAACTATTTCACTAGGAATGTGGGGAAGCACTGGGCTGGGTTCCCTAGGGAAGTAGTGGAGTCTCCATCCCTAGAAGTGTTTAAGTCTCGGCTTTACAAAGCCCTGGCCGGGTTGATTTAGTTGGGGTTGGTCCTTCCTTGGGCAGGGGGCTGGACTTGATGACTCCTGAGGTCTCTTCCAGCTCTATGGTTCTATGATTCTATGATCCAGAGTTTGACAGACAGGTTGGGACCAGTGTGGCCTTTACTTTTGTATGTCCGGGGCAGAATGAATTTTATGTCACCTATAGGGAGATATGTCACCTCAGTATTGGGGCACATAACAAAATTCTGTCTGCACATGGACAGTTTGGGAGTGGTGATGCTGAGAGATTTGAACTGAAAGGAGGCTCAGGCTGAAGGTGCAGGGTGGGGCTGGAGATGAGGGGTTTTGAGTATAGGTTCCCCCAGGAGAGAGGGCTCTCCCCAGTCCTCTAGCTCCACAGCAGTTCTGGGCTTGGTGCAAGGTTCCTCTCTGCAGGCCGGGGCAGCTCCAGTGAGGCTGGGTTGGACTGGGGGAGGGGCGCTGCTCTCCAATTTATGGCAAGTCCACGCTGCTGGGGATGGCGAGGGGAGAACTTGGAGAAGGGCCTCTCCCGTACACGGCATCTCTGAGCTCCTGGATGGGGCTTATTAGGCAGCTGCGCGGCTGCACAGCTTAGAGGTGCTTTTGTTTGGGACTCAGGGACTGGAGTCTCTGCCTGGCTCTGACCTGATGCACAAACTTTTGAGACTCTTCTGTGCCTCTGTTTCCCTTCCCACCCTCTCTCTCATATATTTAGACCAAGCTCTTTTGGGTTGGGGTCCATGTCTTAGTTTGTGCAGTGCCTGGTTGAATGGGATCCTCCTCTCAGTGGGTCTCCACATGCCTGCATGTGATGAGATGGAGGAGAGGGAACCAGGGGAAGGAGTTAAATCATAGGGGATCTGTGGGCAGGAAGATCATTTTTGCAGGACTGAAGGGGACTTTACAGATCCAGGGGACCCAGAGAGGAGGCTGCAGTAGAAAGGTGGAAGATAACCCAAGCCATAGCGAGGGCAAAGAAGAAAACCTAGATTTTGGGGTCAGAAGCAGCATTCAGATTTGGATTCCTCGTGGGGTAGGGGAGGGGGTGGAAGGAGCTGAAGAGGCCCCTCTGCAGTGAGGCCACCTGGAAGAAGATGGCAGTGTTAACAGAGGTAAGAAAGAGGTGAGTGGCAGGGAAAAAGAGGGCCAAGACAGGCCCCACTTCTGTTTCTAGCAGGGATGTGGCTGCCTTTCGGGGGCAACTGGTGAGGGAGAATTTGGGAGGGCCACCCACCGGAGGGCCACCCACCCCCCAGCCTGAAGAAGGGCAGCGACAAACCCTGTCTACCCAAGGCTCCCTTCCCTCCCCTGCTCCCCACCTTTGCCCCACACTTGCTCTGCCGATGCCCCTCCTCCTCTCCAACTGAGGCAGACCAGGAGCAGTAGTACAGCTGGGGGGCTGGTGTGGGCAGCAGTGGTCTGTCCCCCCACACTTACCGGCAGTGATGGGGGAAGCAGAACAGCGAGGTCCCAGCTCACTCTGCTCCTCCCGCCGCTGAGTACGGGGCAGTCCCGCCCCTCCTCTGAGCAATGTGCTGGGAGAGCAGAGTGAGCTGGGGCTGCATTGCCCTGCTTCCCCCACTGCTGCCTGTGAGTGGGGGTGGAGCAGGCCCCTGCTGTGAGCTCCAGGCCCACTCACTAGTCTTCCCCCACTGCTGCCTGTGAGTGGGGGTGGAGCAGGCCCCTGCTGTGAGCTCCAGGCCCACTCACTAGTTCTCCCAGCTGCTGTCTAGCCTCTTTCCCCTCCCGCCCCTGGGGGCATGTGACCCCTTGTGCCCCCCATCGTATCACCCCTGCTGCCCGTCACCTCTTTATGCTCCAAGGTGAAGTTGAAAGGTCTGGAGAGGTTTCTGCTTTTCCCTATGGTCGCACTCACTACGTTGGAATTCAGGGTAACTTCGTTCAGTCTCTCAGCACCTGTCAGGCTTTGATCGCTGACACTGTCCTTTAGGACGGACTCCAGCTGGTCGTACACTATGAAGACGACGGCTCCAGTGCCTGCAGGAGCAAAGGAACAAGAGGTGATTTCTGAACAGCCTGGCTACATCTACACTGTCAGGAGTTTGAGGAAGAGGAAATGCAAATGAAGCGCTCATTAGCATTTCTCATCCTCTCATTTGCATAGTCTCTTCTGATCCTTTTTGAGAAACAGGTTTTTGTGGGAAAAATGCCGTGTCAACAGGGCCATTTTGCTCCAAAAAAGACCCTTTTCCACAAGATCCTGTAAACCTGATTTTTTGAGGAATAAGTCCCAGAAAATCCATCCCCATTTTGGTCGGAGGGAACTCCCCAGCCCTGATGTGCCCTCTTCATGGGGAAGCCACAAAGCCTGTGTTTAACCTGTGCCAGGGAAGCCCGCTGGCAGGGCAGGAAAGGGGGCAGTTGCCCCTGGGCTGGGCAATACAGAAGGGCTTGGGGCTTCCAAATGCTGCTGGAGCGATGGCGGCAGGACCCCAGGACTATTTAAATCCCCACCATCACGCTGTGCGGTGCACTCCGGGCGGTTCTGAGGGCTGCTGGGTGGGAGGGGGTTCTGGTGCACCTGAGGGAAAGCTGAGGGCTTGCTCCCTCCCACCCCACTCCTTCCACCCAAATCCCAGTTCCTCCCAGGGGAATGGAGAGGCCTTGCTCTTCCCAGGGGCTTGGAGCTGGGCCCTCTTCCATCTTGCCCAGGGGCAGGCAAGTCTGTCAGCCCCCTTGGTCCCAGCACCTCTGGGCCTGCTGCACCAGTTATATAAATGAGCCCCAGGACTTATATTACACATTAAGCCCTGCACAAGGGGCTGGTGTAAAGCCGCCCAAAGCAGGCCCGTGTGCAGGAATTTCTGTGGGTGCGCGTGTGTTTTTTGTAAAATGTGGACCCCACCCCCGATGGTCCCTGATGCACAAGGGGCTGGTGTAAAGCCGCCCAAAGCAGGCCCGTGTGCAGGAATTTCTGTGGGTGCGCGTGTGTTTTTTGTAAAATGTGGACCCCACCATCTATGGTCCCAGATGACTGGGGAAGCTGGGCTTGATTTCCCACCCCCATCTTCACTCCTCAGGGAGAGTGGGAAAAACAGCCCCAGCCTTCCCTTGGCTGGCTGAAGCATTTTCCAGGGGAGGGGAGGGCGGCAAGGGCCAGGACTATGCGCCACTCCTGCCTTCTCCTGGCCAGACAGAGTCAGTCCCATGGAGGATCATGGGAAGGCGCTTTCGCACCCTTCACACACCCTGCATATGGGCCTGCAAGGTCCCCTGGGGAGTCTGTCGGGGCTGCTTTAAGGTCCCTCTGCAGCCCTGGAAGATCTGGCCTCCCAGCTGGCTCTGAGGACGCTGCTGGATTGCTCTGATCTCATCTCTTGCCCGTCCAGAAGGCTTCTAGTTGGTACCTGAGCGATCGGAGCCGACGACCGTGGTGCAGTCAATGGCCATCCATTCGTTTTTTGCATTCAGTGAGATACTCTCCCCTTGACTGCTGCAGTTATCCTTAACGGCCTTGGCTGCGATGGCTGGGACAGAAGGACAAGTTCTTCACTGAGGTGCTTTGAAAACAACCCCCCCGTTAGCGTGGAGCCAAATCTCCTCCAAGGAGACACGCCACAGACACCAGGAGAGCCACACTGCAGTGAAGGCAGCAGAGGCAAGAACAGAAGCAGGAGCCTGGAATATTCTTACCTTCGTGCAGCACAATGAACAGTCACTGCCGCAATCCCACTCCTTGGTGAGGTCAGAGCCCCCTTGTGCTGGGCACCAGAGGCACATGCAGCAAGAGACTGTGCCTGCCCCCAGCAGCACAAAGGGCTCATGCCCCCATTTCACAGACAGAAAAACATAAGCTCCAAGCGAGCAGGCAGGCAGGAACAGCCCGCCACCCGGATCCCTTACACTTCAACCCAGCACCCTGGAGCCCTGCACCACAGAGACTAGCTAGCATGGTGGTCAGAGTTGTGCAGGGGGTGAGGGTTCCTTTTTCTTACTCATCATCCCAGTTCTGATGGGCTTTATCTGGTTCATGGGGCTTCTCAGAGCAGCTTCAAAGGCGACCGATTCCACGCTCTTCAGAAAAACGGTGGCAGCCAAGACCTTCTCCTTGGGTGGCAATTCACTAATGTCCCCGACAAATGAATCGAAAGAGGCAGTGGCATTCTGGGATGCAAAACGAAGACACCCTGTGTCAAGCAAGGGCTGTCAAACAGCGGCCTACTGGCTAACAGAGAGATGCTCCCATGCAGGTCTGGCCCGAGCCATTCATGCACACTGGGCCCTGGGAGAGTGGTGCTGCCACCAGGAGTGCAACGCATGCACGGCTCCGCCCCCAGGAGAGTGGCAGGCCCCGCTCCCGGGCACTCAGCACATGCGTAGCCCCACCCCGGGTGTGCAGCGCATGCAGGGCCCCACCCCTGGTGCATGCACAGTCCCACCCCCAGGTGAGCAGAGCATGCAGGGTGCCACCCCCGCCCAGCCCGGTAGCCTCACGTGGTGCCCCTGCAATGGGGTGCCCCGGGCGGTAGCCCAGTTGGCCCATACTTTGGGCCAACTATGGTCTCATGGATCCATAAGAAGACAGGAAGAAGGTAAGAATGGCCAGACTGGGTAAGACGAAAATTCCATCTCGACCTGTATCCTGTGTTCTGACGGGCCAATGCCAGGTGCCTCAGAACAAGTGATCCATCCCCTGTAGCCCATTCTCAGCTTCTGACAGAGAGAGGCTGGGGCACCACTCCTGCCCATCCTGGCTACTAGCCATTGATGGACCCGTCCTCCACAAATCTATCTAGCTCTTTTTCTGACTTATAGTCCTGGGTTTCACAACATCCTCTGGCAAGAAGTTCCCCAGATTGACACTGCGCTGTGTGAAGAAAAACTTCCATTGGTTTGTTTTAAATTTGTTACTTATTCATTTCCCCTAGTTCTTGGGATCCTCCCCACTCACCACCACACACGCTATCACAGAACATCCCAGGGCAGGTACAACTGCGTACATGGATGGGTGATGGTAGGCAGGTCCCAGGGCCCTCCAAGCACTTATTATCTGGCTCTGCACTCCACATGGCTCCCACGCTGCCCACCCAGGTACCAGACACTGCCTCGTTCTCTTCACCCCAAGACATTCACCACCCACACTTGGCTGGCAGCTGAAATCCCACTCGCTGTTGGCTTCAGTCGACTCCTCTAGACCAGAGGCAGCTAAGCCTTGTTTATGGTGATTTGTTCATCTTTACAAGGAAGAGTCTGGAGACTGGGCCAAGCAGATGGGGATAAAGAGGGGACTTTGCTTTGGTGGAGGGAAGGCAGGGAACGGCAAATACAGGCACAGAGCCTCTGACCTGCAGTGGTACTGGGTTGCTTCCATTTCCTAATGCAGAAGACCATCTCTCTCGGATATCTTTCATGAAAGAGCAAAATTTCTTGCTTTCCTGGATTCCCTGCAGGTGAATCATGGAAAAAGGAGTGAGTTCCACAACACATCTACCGACCTGCTGCACTGGGGGGGGGGGCGGGGGGAAGGAATGACAGGTGACCACCTCCAGGCACCTGTTCTGTCCCTCTCCGCCCACGGTATCCTTCTCCCCCGC